AACAGACACAATGTCTACATCTCTGATTGCTGTTGTTCATCATTAACATCTATAATCTGACAGTATTCACAGCTTTATTATAATCAGGTGATTTCTCTGTTCACTCTTAGCTGAGTTTGAAAGGAAATACAAGCAGCTTGGACTGATTGGCAGAGGGGGCTTCGGGTCTGTCTATGCCGGCTTTCGCCTGGAGGATTCATTACCGGTTGGTATTATATTGTGTTCTTGGCCTTCTGTCTGTCTTTGACTCAAATCTAAGCAGGCACCCTGAAAGCATCACTGCTGATGTCTGCAGAAAGGATAAATACTTGTGCTTGTGTCCAACAGGTGGCCATCAAGCACGTCAAGATCAGGAAAGGTCAAAACGGGCCGAGTAAAGTGAGTGAACTGGTTTAGAAGCAGCCGGCCTCTCAGTCATGTTAGTAGACAGTATTTGTCCTTTGCTGTTAGTTACACAATCAGGTCATTGTGGTTTCTAAGGTGGGCCGTGTTCCCCTGGAGGTGGCCCTCATGCAGAAGGCCGGAGGTGGACCAGATTCAGTGGGGGAGTTTGCTGCCGTCACCCTCCTGGACTGGTACCATGTGGATCAGAAGCTGGTCATCGTGATGGAAAAGCCGCCAGCATCCATGGATCTCGCAGAATACGTGTTCAGCAAAGGAGATATTCTAAAGGAAGATGAGGCCAGGGTAGGGAGGATGGAGGTTTGGTGTTTTTGCTACGTCTGCATTCGCTGGCAGACTAAGAGCTTTTCTGCTTTTTCCCTTTAACAGCTGCAGCAACAACTTTTAACTTTGATAAACCATCATTTCTTAAATAACCGTGTAATATAATTAAAAGGACCCACTAATAATAACTAAATGAGTTCTTAACAGAAATGTGATGGAAAATTATTTCCCAGTTTGACTTGAAGGATCATTTTTTATTTTATTTCAAAAACCTTTTGGATTAGGAAATAAATAATACAATCAGACAAAGGAAACTTGATTAAATACAAAAGGCATTTTCCAAATGACATTAATTGTATTAGAGACAAATAAACGATTCCCACTGGTTTCTGAGTGAAAACATCTATTGTTATTATCTTAATTAGAACCTGTCTGACAACATGAAGCTGACAAAGGCTGGTCTCACGTTTGACCAAAAAGCAAACCGATGATCCCCAAGACTTTTAGCAAAACTATTTATAGGCTGACGAGATAAAAAAGGGAACTTTTAGGAAGATGTCTGTCAGGACAAAAATGTGCAGCGTTTCTACAGCGTTTTGGAAAAAAACTTTGAGTGAGGAAAATCTGACCGTTTGAGCAAAAAAAGGATGAGCAAAAGCTTATGGAGTTTATGGAGTGAATTTTGTTACATTGTTGCAAGCAAGGAACCTTTTTAGTTAAAGGAAGTGTAAAAAAAAAAGTGCAATTCAGGAAGGAAACAGTTTGAATCAAAAAGTGGTTTTGAGATCAGCTTTGCTGTTTTCTCAAATATATATTTATTTAATTTTGTTTTTTTAGCATACTTTATTATTTTTTTTTTAATGGGTCCCTCCTTCAAAGGAAACCCGCCCCCAAATGTAAGCAGAATATGATCTGGGAAATTCAAAATGAAAAGGATGCAATTAAAAAAACTCAATCTGACAAAAACAAAAAAGTAAATAAATATTTGAAAATACAAAATCTTTTAATAATTAAATAAAACATTTGAAAAAAAAAAATTACATCTGAAATATAAATAAAAAAAAAACTTAAAACAAGAGTATAAGAAAACAGCTTAGTTTTTTCTCAAAACCTTTTCTTAAAGTTTTTCTGTTTCATCCCTGCATTGATTTTTTTCTCCCAATTTCATTTAGCGAAAGTACGTTTTTCTACAACAATAATGTAACAACATCCCCTCCATAAAGTTCCTGCCACTGATATAAAAGATTTACGGCCTCTTATCATGAAGGCTTGATGTCAGCCGTCGCCACCAACAGAGACTCAACCAGTCTTTAGGTTTAGGGAAAAATAATCCATCTTGGTTTAATTACCTTCTCTATCTGTCTCTGATCAATGGAAAATGCATTTTGTTTAGAACTCAGTTTATCTTTTTCTAATAATACATTTTTCTTAATGATCATTAATGTGTAAAAATAAAAATAGAATAAATTGGTTACAGTTTTATTTAATCTCAACAACTGAAGATGAGATCTTTAATGATAAAGACATTTTTCATTGTTTTATTCCAGATTCTTATGAAACAGATGGTGGACGCTGCCATAGACCTCCAAAACAAGGGGATTTTCCACAGAGACTTAAAGTTCGAAAACACTCTGGTGGAAATGGGATCCCGGGGGCCTCGCATCCGAATTGTTGACTTCGGCTGTGGAAGGTTCCAGAGGAAGAGGGCCTTAAGAACTTTTCATGGTGAGTTTCCACTTTATTAAACATTTAACTGAGATCCTCTTTGAGTCATTTCCTTTAAAAAGCAAATGGAAGAACAAAGCATAAAAGTCTGCTCTGACTATGCCTGTATTCCAGGTACTCTTGCTTACGCCCCCCCAGAATGGTTCAGCTGTGAAAAATACAGACCTTCTCCAACCACGGTTTGGCAGCTGGGAATCATTCTTTTTCACATGCTGCACAAGTATTCATTTGACACCAGATTTTTTACACGGGGCCTCATTAAATTCGACAGCAACCTTTCTCAAGGTGGGAACATAACCAGCTAGTGTCTTACTAGCTACCGCCCGCCTGTGCTTCTGACCATTATCCCCTTGGCTTCTCTTTCCAGAGTGCCTGAATTTTCTTAACTGGTGTTTGGAGGAGAACAGTAAGAGACGTGCCACCCTGGAGGATCTCCGTTCTCATTCATGGCTAATGTGACTGAGCCCCGTCCCTCAGGGATCCACTGGGCCTTTGTTTGTTGTAAATATGATAAAACAATATTGAAATTTCTCTCTGACTGTTGTGTGCGTGTTTGTAGACTAGAAGAAAAGCTCAGTCTAGCACCCTGACTACAACATCCTTCAATATTTTCTGGAGCTATAAGTCGACTTTATTGTGTCTGAGGAAATCCCACTTTCATCTTGACCAAGCTGGATGCATTTTGTTGATCTTTTAACACCAATAAGATTTTGTAAACAAGTTATTAAGATAAAGCTGGGTATGCAGTTTAAAACCAGGATATTGTTGAGGATCTCAACCTTCCACCAGCCTTCCTGTACATAACCATCATATTATAATCCTAAACTATTTAATGGGAACCATCAAGTTTGATTTCTCTGGATATATTATTGATGATAAACTCAACTGGAAACCTCACCTCAGTTTTGTTCAAAGTAAATTGTCTAACAATATTTCTATACTGCAGAAAACTAAATGTTTTGATTGGATAAAAATGATCTATATGATGGTTAAAGCTATAAGCTGCACCAGCCCTAATGAGAAAACTCTGCCCCCGCATTTCAATATAACAACATAAGATAATATGTTTTCAAAAAGTCCTGAAAAAAGAAGTGGTTAAGAAGTAAAACTTGTTGGGATCCTGAGGCTTGCCCACCAGAGGGCGCCGAGGATCCTCTTCTGTTTTTATTTGTTTTCTGTTAGGACTGTGGTTACTGTTGAGATCTGGAGATCTATCATCTGTCTCCAGCAGAGTGCGCTGTGGGTCTCCTGGGCTGGAGCTTCCAGCACACCTGAAGCTCATCAGCCAATCAGGAGACCTTCCTTCATAAGCAGCAGTCAGACCTTCCTTCGACGCCGGAGTGTTTGACCAAGTTTGGTTAGCAAACCCAAGCCCCTGTTTATCTGGTGAATTTCAGTAGGCTCTAGAGAGAAACTGAATTCTAACCTGCCTCTGTTTTCTTTGCTCACAGAAAGCCTAACTGAAGTCTGAAGCTCTGGATTAGCTTCACCTGGAAACCTGCCTGCCTGCCCAAGGAAGCCAAACCTGAAGGTCTTAGTCTGGATTCCTCCTTCAGCTCTCAGGGGAGAGTTAGGAAGTTAAACCTGAAGATCTCAGTCTGGATTCCTCCATCAGCTCTCAGGGAAGAGCTAGGAACAAGACCCACGTCTGAGGCTCACCAGCCAGAAGCTAGACGCTGCCGCTGCTGAGCTCTCTGCTACTTCCACAATCTCTGGACTCAACCGGTTCCCCACCTCTAGGATCTGTCAGAACCTCTTCAAGGTACATTTAGAAATTACCCACTCATCATTCCATCTAACTGCCTGGCTAACCAAACTCTCATCCCCTCAGATATCTGTGAAACCTGTCCCGGACCTGTACCAGAACCTGTCCATATTACTCTGTGTGTTTCCCCTAAAATAAACATTGTTAACTTTTCTCAGTCTCCAGTCTGGTGTTCTGCATGTGGGTTAACTCCATTAGCCAATCATGACAAAACTATCCTAAATTTTTATCTGTAAAGCGCCTTGAAATGACTTGTGTTTTGAATTAGCCAATAAAAAAATAATTAAATCAAATTAAATTTACAGAATAAAAAAGGAAAAGATCTTGAAATAAATTCATGAGCAAACACATAAAAATATCTTAAAATAAATGAGAGATAAAGATTTCCATAAATTATTACAAAGTAGGTGGAAAAAAATAGCACCCCCCATGTTTGGTGAAAGAAAAAATAAATAAATGGTCAAAGAAGAATAACTTCAATCTCACAAAAATAGTAAAGAATTCTATGAAAAATGAATAAAAAAAAAAAATCAGATACAAATTTCCAACCATGTTTCAACAGAATGATTAAAAATATACCTGGACTAAAACGATGGTTTCCTGGACTATTTTGTTGCCCAATCTTTTCAGTCAATCACTGTTTTTCAATTGTTTATATGTTTGAATTTTGTAAATAAAGGGTTTTTAAAAGTAAAAAAAAAAGTATTCTTCAAAACCAAATCTTTTCTTAGGAGTTTCTGCTGTTGGATAATAACTATTTATAATTTTATGTTTTACTTCTTTTACTTTTGGATACTTTTTTTTTCTTTTATTATTAGGTCATAAACATTTACATGAAAAAAATACTCTCAGAGAGGATAGCAAAGGTGTACATGAACAGATAAAGATCAATAACAATAAAAGAAAAACAAAAAAGTAAGACAACTATCAGGGGATTTATCTAAGCAAACATTTAAATCAAACATAGACAGAGCCATAGAAATAATAAAAGCAAAAAGGTGAACGCACCTAGAACAGCAGATGTTTGGAGAAATCAAGTCTCAATTTTTTGGCATATTTGTCATTTATCAAAATCTTTTTAAGGGAATAAAAAAAGGTTTTAAAATCATTAATAAACCAATGAAAGGAAGCTTTAGCAATTCTCCATTTAGCACAGTGGATATGATATTTACCCAACAGCAGGAGGTTATTAATAGTATAAGAAACAGGCTGGGGAAGATGGTCCATTTAAAAAATGACATAATTTAGTGCAAAAGGGGGGACAGGGCTCGATGTTAACCATTGCCCGATCACCCGGGGCAAGTAGTCGGGAGAGTACAAATTTCTTTGCAAATGACATTCGCTTAAAAAAAGGACCCACATGCGTTGCCGGCGCCATTTTTGTTGTTTTGTACACATTCTCGCGTGATTTGAAAAAGCCGCGAGATTTTCTGCCAGATGCCGTGATTTTTGTCCGGGAATTGGCGCGAATCAGACACACCCACCACCCAGATAACCCTAGATTAAAAATGATCAGGTATTAGGAAAATTGGCATAATTGTATGCCATAAATATGGCTATCTTAAGGCAGTCTAGAAAAGTCACAATATATTAATAGTATCATCTTGTATAAACATACCGTGACATTGTCTTCTGTCTTGTGATTTATCTTAAGTTGTTAACCTGTCAAGTTGGTTTTAGATTTTTAACATTACAATTTATATTTTTCCAAGCACACAACAGTTTAAAGCAAAGTTTAGTTTGAAAAGAATGTGCAGGAAGGATTGAAAAGCATGTTTACACAGTAATGTAGGATTGAGTTCATTATCTGATGCATGCATATACACACTAGGAACCTGTAAACTTAAAAAATACTGAATTACAAAAAACATTTAAAAAACAAACATGTTTCATTGATATATATACAAAAATGAATATTAGGAACTGTATTTATCAAACATTATACTGGGCAAGTAAAAATTGTTTCTGTGCAAATTAAATGTGAAAGTCACTTGCCCACAGGGCAAGTGGTAAAAATCCTTAACATCAACCCCTGATATATATACACACACACACATATATATATACACATACAACACATTCAAGGTTGGATTATTTTTATTTTATTTTTGGATTATTCATTTGCAGTTCCCCTTGAATTTTCTTAATTAGGGAGGTACTTGAATATACATTTTTTCAAGCTTAAAATTTATTTTATTTTAAATGTATAATTCATTTATTTTAAATAGTCATAGTAAATGAGTACTGTTTTGTATACTGTTTTGCGTCTTGTTGGCAGCCCACCTGCCCAGCCAACGTTGGGGTCGAGGACATATTTGGGATTCAGAACCAGGAGATCAGAAGTCCAAAGAGGTTCCAGGGGGAAATTTAGGGAGGTCACAGGAAACAGCTCCAAGTTAATTAAACAGACAGAATCCAGCAGGGGTCAAGGAACATGTCAGGCAAACAGATCAGACTGAAACAGGCAGGCTCAGTGGTTGAGAGGCAGAAAAGGTCTGGATCAGGTAATCAGAAACACTAAGGTAATGCTGGAACGCTCTCACCACAGGCTTGAGAATTATCTGGTGCTGATGGCTGGTTAGAGGGCTGGTTAAGTAGAAGCAGGAGCAGGTGGATCAGATGAAAGGTAATGAGCACTGTTGCAGAGCTAGGCAGGTGAATGAAATGAGTAATCAAGCCAGTCATCAGATAATGTATGCATAGTATGTTGTAGCTCAGCTGGTAATATCGCAAAACATTTTTTAAATAATCAAAAGGAAAAAATCCTCCTCCTATGCTAGAAAAACTTTACATATAAAATGACAGCTTATAAGGGTAATAATAATAAGTAATAATTTGCACAAGGTAATTCCAAGATCAAGATACTCAAATATTGTTGACTCATTTTATGTTTTCTAACATCAAATGGATAGGTTAGCGGCTTTAAAAAAACATCTTAAAAGGGGAGATAGCACTTTTGTGAAGAGCAGATGACATTTGTGACATTACACATCAACTTCCATTGATTCTCTGCTATCTAAAAGCCAGAAAAAAGTAAACAGGACGTGCTTTAGCTTTGTGTTCAATCTGATTCAAGGCTTACAGAGAGTTATCAGTCTGGGCTGTGCATGGAAATCCATCAAAATGCTGCTTAATCATCTTTCTCAAAAGAATTGACTCCTAATACCATGCCACTTATCCATTATGGCTGAGGAAGATGGAGCACATTCATTATTTGGACTCCAATCACATTCTCTGTCCTTGGTAAACAGATAATAAAGTCTTTAAACTGGTTTGACGCACACAGAGGCGGAAGACATCTTCAATCAGCCAACTCATCCCAGGGGTCCTCCGAGGCACATTATAAAACAACATCAGGGGGCAGAAGCATAGATGTTGGTTATGCAGAAAGTCCATTAAAACAGCATTTTTTTCCCCCATAAACCAGCCGTAAGCAGGCATGTTTTTTAAACTTTTGGACCTCAAGTATTCTTCAGACCACACATGTTCAGAGTGTTTCATTACAAAATAAGAGGTTCACAACACCCTAAAGGAATGAGGATTTTAATCTAAGCAGTTAATTATGCAGCAACATTCATCATCATATATTATCTAATGATAACAGGTCTAACCTCAAGTAAAGCTCTGTTGAAATTTTATGAGCAATGTTTTTTTTTTAAATCTGTTGGAAATATCTTCAACTTTTAATTTATGT